GATACCATTAAAAAAAAAAGCACAACCTTTCAAGGAGTATATTTATACACTGCTCCCTCTGCCTAGAATGACCTTCATCTGAACCACATTTGGCCTCGTTTCCTTCTATTTGTCCTTGAAGACACAGCACAAGCTTTACCATCTCTAAGCAGTCTGGATTTCTATGTTCCATCTAACCCTATTCAAACATCTAAAATAGACTTTATATAATTTTATAATAGGTAGTCTACTTCTCTGTTTTTTCCTCCCTAACCTGCTAGACTATAGGTTTCTTAAGCTACCATGTCTTTGTTTCCAGAGCTGAACACATGGTAATATCCATTTCATTAATTATGAAGCTTTCTCAAAATATTCCTAAGAACACTTTAGAGATTTTGATTAAGTAGCATGTCTTTTTTTTTAATGCACCACAGAATATTCTAACAGACAGCCAAGATTAAGAAGCACTGCATTTATATTGGAAGGCAGCTATGCTCACCACTATACCACCAAAGCTGCATAACTGCATTTATATTGAAAAAATGGCTGACTAAATAGCAATGAGGCACTGTTTTGTTAGAATACAGTACTGCTTATATGAACTGAGCTGTTATCTAGATAAGCACAACTGTTAAAAAAAAAAGCTCATCTCAACAATTTCATTGTCTGTCAAAATCTGTGACTGATTCTATGAATATGAAAATGTTTAGAGTATACTGTTTTGTTTTTAAAAATGGGTCAAATAAAATGATTGCATAACAGAGCCAAAATGGTGATCAAATTGAAACACTTAGTCCCTTCAATATTTTCAGAAAAAATGATGTTAAAACAGGGAATAGAAATATACAGAAGTTTTTAAAAAACTGTCTTTTATGACTCATAGGATAGATTTAAAAGAAACATTAAGTAAGGAACTGTCTACCATACGACCCAGCAATTCCTCTCTAAGGTGTATACCCAAGAGAACTGAAACATATGTCTACACAAATCTTGCACACATACAGTCATAGTAGTATTATTCATAGTCAAAAGGTGGAAACCCATATGTCCACCAATGGATAAATGGATAAATAAAATGTAGCATGTATATCCAAATAATGGAATATCACTCAGCCATAAAAAAGAATGAAGTACTGATATATATCACAGTTATCAATGGACCTTGAAAACATTATGCTAAGTGAGAGAAACCAGACAAAGAGGCCCTATATTGTATAATTCCCTTTATGTGAAATGTCAAGAACAGGCAAATCCACAAAGACAAAAAGTAGAATAGTGGTTACCAGGGGCTGGGATGACAGGGGGATGGAGACCGACTGCTAACAGGCACAGAGTTCCTTTTTGAGGTGGTGATAAAAATGTCCTAAAATTAGATAATGGTGATGATCATACAGCTCTGTGAATATAACAAAAACCACTCAATTGTACATTTAAAAAGGCTGTACTGTATGGTACGTGAATTCTATCTCAGTACACTATTATAAAAGAAAAAAGAAACTGTCTTCTATGGGACAGAAAGCATGAACCTGACTGTATATAAATTTAAAATAATCAGTTAAATGCCTATATGCTAATATCCTACTAATAAATTACATGCTATTCAATTTAAGAAGTACATCTACTATTATATTAGAGTTGATCAAAATAAAATCCTTAATACATTCTTCGTAGATACTACCTCAAAACAATGGACAAATAGAATCAGTATCTCTTTCATTTGCCAAGTCCTACCTTGAATTTGAAGATTTCTTCCCTTTCCTGTTATATGAAATGTGAAACTAATCATTTCAATTCTATTAACATCACAGAGTTGCTATCAGGATCAAATGAGATAATATAGTGTAATTATTAGTGGGAAACTCCATCAGAGTAACACACTAGAGAGAAGAAGTGCCTGGACTACTGCAGAGCTGGAAGCACAGCATGGGCATGACTACCTCGGTCTTCTTCCCTCCATCCCTCATCTGAATCTGCCTCCTGCATACAGCATACATTTTAGACTTTGATGCCAGTTGGTAAGGGGTCTGCAACTGTGGAGGGCTGCTCTCTTTGGATGGATAAATTTATCCTACTCTGGACTGAAGATACCAGGTCCTTTCTCTAACAGTTGTATCAGGAGTAAGGTTGGTATTTCCATCTCAATTTCTCTAATTCCTATGTGTCTGACTCCAATTCCAAGGGGAACATTATTTATTAATGTTTCTAAGACCTCAACATACATAGAAGTACTTATAAACACAGAGCACAGCACAGAGATAAGGCATTAAAAGTGATATTAAGTTAATGTGTTTTCCTGTTCCTCTAGTCTAAAATTTCAGCAAAAATAATTAAAAAGTAATAAAAAACTTTAAATAGTTCATTTTGTTGCCAGTTAAACAGTAAAGCAAGATTGTCTAACCAACCTACAGACCTCTGGGTAATGTATTTAATGAAAACTCATGAAGATCAAGTAAAATTATATTTTGAACACAGAATAATGACATTCATTACATAGAATAACAGATTTTTAAAAAATCAAATCATTAACCCACTAGGAGTATGCAGATCAAGAAGCTTAGACTCTTGCTTAAATGATTAGATCTAATTGATATTCAGAGATTATTAGAAATACTTTAAGCTAGTTACACAATGTTTTAGGAAAATAGTATGAAATTCTATGAAAATAGTAACATTAATATGAAACAAATATGAAAACTATCATGTAAATTTATTTGCAAATTAATTATTATTCTAGCATATTCCCTCCTAAAAGAGGCACACAAGCTGTTATTGCAGAGGTGCCTCTTTCTTTAAAAGAAAGTACTGACCGTGTTTATCTAATCTAGTTTCTCTAGGCAGAGAGCAAGGTAAGTGCCAGAAAGTCAACTAAAGGGATAAAAAAATATTTTATTTCCTCGACCTCATAACCAACATCTACAAAAGGAAACAGAAGGGACAATATAGGTATTCAAGTGGAATCCCGGAATATAAATTGAGATCTACTTCCTAAATTCATAAAAAGTCTAAAGTGCATAATAGGAATCTCCTAGGTACAGGAAAAAGTTCTCTAAAAGAATTTCATCATGTAACCATGATCCTAACGATCCCGAGGATATGGCTAGGATGAAATCAATTGTTCAAACTTGGTTTCAGCACTGCCATTTTAAGTGATTGTGAGCAATATAGCATAGTGGCTAAAAGCAGAGGCTTTGAATTCTCATCTTACTACTTACTAGCTGTATGACCCTGACTAAGTTATTTAATCTCTCCAAGTCTCATCAATGGTAGAATGGAATCCTTAAGGTTTTGGTGAGGGTTAAATGATACAACACTTATAAAGTGGTTAACAAAATCCCTGACATATAGTCAGAGTTTACAATCTCACAACTTTTATTATTAGCTATACATGTCTTCCACTGAATGCTGCTTCTTCTTAGGGTTATCTTATCCATCCCAGACACAGCCTCCTAAGGAGGTAAACTTTTGTGCAATGTGGACATATACGTATTATCACTAATAGTGATAACTAACAAATGATAATCATAATTACAAATGAAAAATTTCACAAGTTCATGTTTTCTACTTTTTATATTTTCCATCCTCAGCTGTATATATTTGTATTTTAACAATACTTTAATGAAGTATTATGAAAGGAAAAAATGAATGAACAATCTAATGAAGGAAGGCTCAAGTAAATAAGTTTGGCAACCATTTCCCACTACCTGATAAAGCAGTATGATCTGAATTACCTAGTACGTCCTGGTTCAGGCCTTCAGAGTGGCTGTGGCCATACTCAAAGTATTAGACTGTGTAAAAGAAGAGCTGCAGTATGCCCCGTTAAAACTGGAACTCCATCCTAATCATACTCAAATTGGGACTTCCTGAGAATTATATACTAAACTCAGAATTGGAGCACCCCAATTAGAAAGGTTTTAGACTTCAATAAACCATCAGATAATTTATTCTGTCCCTGTCTGAACACAATAGAATGGACATGAATCTACAATCTTTTAAAAGCAGCCTATTTATAACTCAAAATTACCTAGAAATAGCCCAAAGAAATAGCAGTATGTAAAAAACTTCATATTAATGAAAAATAGAGAAACCCAATTGAGGTCTTTTGAGATCAGAAACCTATTTTAGTACTTTCTTCTTAAAAGAACGTGCTTGCTAAGCTGAAGTATGGCTATACTAATTTCTGAGGTAAATTAAAAGGGAGGGAAAAATAAGATTTACAAAGGATGAACAACTTAACAAAACAAAGCTGCAATTAAATATCAGAAGCTCTGTAACTGTCCTACGGGTAAGCAAGGTCACAACACCAATAACAATCCAACAGGAAGTTCAACTGAATAGAACAAGTCTCTTCTGCTCTTTTTATTTCAGGTGTAAATTACAAAGAAGGATGCCAAAGAAATTATACTTAATGAAAATATTCTTAAGTGATGCATAAAGGAAAACTCCTATTCAATATTTGTAGTAATACTCATTACAAGAAAATCAGAATATATAGTGAGACACATACAACAACATGAATTTAAACACACACATTTACTTTCTATGCCAAGGTTTGCAAAATAAGAATTTCATTTCCCACTTCCCAACACTGTATTACACTATAATTTGTAATTAAAACTTCAATTGCTACATATTTACAAAGTTCTGCTTACCTTATTGTTTTTTATGTTCTAACACAAAATAGAGTTAGTATCACTGCAATTTATGATCACATAATGAAGGTGGGGCAAAAATCCTTTGGTTTTAGAGCTCTCTTCTGGTGAACTATTCAAATTACTTTTGAAATCAGTATAGAATGATAACAGGAAACTACAAAAATGCTATACACATTTTGAATTTTATTTTAAATTACCCACTCTTTAGTTTAGTCTAGAAAATCTGACTATAGCTCTTAAAATGTTTCAAATTTTACATGATCACAAACTGGAATATGTTTAACATCTGAAATTTAGGGCTGTCTGAAAGATTAACAGAAAATGAAAAAAAAGCCCACATGTTTAGTATCTCCATATTTTCTTACTTACTACATAAAATCGGAGAAGACGGTGTTTGCAGTGTCAAAGTGGAGCCATCTTTCCTTGTGATACTAACTCGAAAAACCAATCTGGCACGAGTGCTTTTTTTCTTGGAACCAGCAATTCCTATTCTGGCTTCAACATCAGCATTCCTCAATTTCAATATCCCTACGCAGTCCACCCTAACACAGAAAAATACATTGACTATTATTTTCTGTTGTATAAATATTATTAATGAAACAAGTTTCTTCCTTATTAATTTTTTGAATATTTACTATAATCATAAGGTTCCAAAATCAAAAGGTATAGAAGGGTAAATTCTAAATATTCATAATTCCTACTGCCAACTTTTCATTTGTAATATTAATAGAAAAAATTAAGTAAAGAAAAATCAGTATTTCAAAATCTGAACATAAGTAATGGTTCACAAGAGATAACTCAGCTGCTTTTAAAAATAAACAAATTTAGCCCTTTCTTGCAGCTAATTCATTTATTAAGATAGAGAGAATGGGCTTTACTTTAAAAAAAAATTAGTAACTGTCCCCAAAAGAATGGAATACTACATAGCCATCAACACATATGCTATAAAATAGTATCTCATATATGGAAAATGCTTATAAGAGAAAAGCAGGTTACAAACAGTAGGTACAGTATTATCTCAATATTATCAGAAAAAGACAGAAAGATAAATATCAAAGTAGTGGTTATTTCTGGGAACTTGGCTTTGTGGGGTTTTTAAGTTTACTGTTATTATTAATTTTTATTTATTTATTTTTAGGTTATTCTGTTTTCTCAACTTATAGTGAATAAGTGCTATTTTTATAATCAGTAACACCCTTTCTTTCACTATATATATTTATTTTTTATTTTCAAAAAATAAAATACAAATTTTTACCAAATGTCTTTCAGAACTTCCCTTTTTCATTTAACCTCTTACTACTAACCTATTCAAAATGGCTTTCAAAAGGCAACTGAAAACCAAGTGTAAACCCTTTAGCAATTCAATACAAATAATGACAACATAGGTCTAATATATTATTCAACTTTAGGATTAAAGGTCCTTAACAAAAGGGTTAAGGAAAAAATTTTTAATTTATGACATTAATATTTATAAGACTTTTCAGGTAATGAAAATATGTAAGATGAAAAGTATATAGTCCCAAGACACAATTTTTTTTAAAACAGGAAAATAAAAACAGAAGGTGAATTTAGATCAGCAATATGCTTTTCACATCAAGATGGGTCAGGGCACCATGAGTGGTTTCTGTCAGTTTCTAATGCAAACAATAAGACAGTGGAATTTAAAAGCAAATCAAATTGTAATTTTCTTTTAAATGTTATTGTTATTAATCCCAATAAGTAAGTCTGTATTATTTTCCAAAAAGCCATTGTTCTACCTGGCTTTTATTTTTCTACCATTCACCATGGGAATTCTCTAGCAAAGGCAAGAGTTCATTTTAACCCATTACCATTCGGCAATAATTTATTTTTTATTGGTAATATTTAAAGCATTTTAATAAAATATTCAAAATCTTCCTTTATACATTAGAAACAAAGTTTTTCTGCCTACTATAATGAAAAAATGTTTATTAAGTACTTACGCCAGTGTCATATTGTTGCTTGGATCAAGGCCAACTTCTATAACAGTAGTGCCTTCAATGTCTACTTCTTTGCAGGGAGTTGTATTTCGCCCAGTTACCCTGCAGGCCTGATAAAATCCATGTGGTTTCACTCGACCAGAGTCATTGCCCACAAACACTTGCAACACTACCGGCTCATTATGGCCTTCCAGCTGGAGGGAGATAACATGGAGCATAAACACTAACAAGCCTTTCAAATAATCGAATTGTAAAATCAAACATTTAAGACCATGTTCTACATTTGTAATTGGATTATAATAAAGAAATAATTTAAATCCTTAAGAAAAAGAGGTAAAATATTTTCATAAAGGAGAGTTGGCTGTTTCTGCAAAAAAAAGTTTTAAAGCTGCATAATCACATTTTAATTAAAATTTTAGATGTTTAGTGTTAAATTATCGGTTCTAATTAATTTATACAACCAGATGAGAAAATACAGTCTTTAAAGTACTTGTAAATTTATGGACTGCCAAAGAAGTATGTGGTTAACTCAGGATTTACTACCACCACTAATGGAAACCCCACTAAATTGTTAGTGGCATCTTTATCGTCACCATCAAATGAGGGGACACACACTAAATTTTTACTTCTGAAAGTTTTTTGAGTAGAAAAATGTTTGAAATGCAGTTATATAAATGATAGGGAAATAGAGCTCTTTTTTTTTTTGTAAACTTTATTTTTCCCTTTTGATGTCAGGGTTCTTGTTCACGAAGCTGAAGAATGAGCTTCACAAACACTCAAGGTAGGAGAGCAAGGTACAGCTTTTATTTAAGATAAAGTGAAAGGACAGAGCTCTCGGCTCACCCCAGGAGGGGACAAGAGAGTCCCTAAATGGAGCTCATTTTCATAGACTAGATACATACAGACATCATAAAATCCTAGGCCAAAACATGATCCGAAAAACTGCTAGTTTCAACCAGGATCTATGGGTTACAGGTCTCTATCAAGCCTTCACAATTAAACTTTAATCTGTTTGCTGAATAAATAAATACTTAAAACAGCATGTGGGAGCAAATATTTCCAATGCTGATTCTTGATAAGGTTTACAGTTACACACTGAAGCTACTAATATAGAATGCATAAAATTGTAAAATAACTTGTATAATGTATACCAAAGTGAATTAAAACTCACGCATCTTTTCTATCCCAATTCAGCTATGTCTCTGTGAAATGATATCATAACGAGGCAAATAAGTAATCTACCCAAACTGTTAGTCAGTAGTACCTAAGGGCAGTGTCTGGCACATAGAGGGTTATAATATTTATTGATGAATAAATAAACTTTTAAGGTCGGTCAATTCACTCCCTATCACAGGCAATTAATCTAATAATGCTTCTGACCAGAAAAGTACTTAGACAAAGTATAATTTAAGTAAGAGCAATTAGGTTAAAAATACTAACCAACCTATCAAAATGTCTGGTTAGACAAATATTTACATAAATCATAACTTAAATACTTAAATTTGTTACCTGCCTGTTACTTGTCCTAAGTTTGGGGGACTGAAAATGGGTTGGTGTGGTGAATAGTAGAGGGGTAAGAATGATATTATACATGTGACTATTAACAACCTTATAATTGGTTATAGTTAAGTTTCCCAATCCTGTATTTTGACCATCATTTCATTCAAATATAAAATGAAAGGCAGTTCAACTAAATATTGTTCAACTGACACAGACACATGAATACAAACTATATTTTAACAAGGTATCTACCATGTGACTAGCCAAAATTCCTCCCTGTTTAGTATTTTGCAAAAAAAAAAAAAAAAAAGTGGGAACACTTGTTAAACATTCCCCACTCCATTATTTTTCAGTTTGTCTTCAAAAAGAAATATTCTTTGTATCAAGGTATCTCAGGTGCTGAAGTATAAGCCTCCTTTTTTTCCCTTTTAAGACAGCCTAAGCTCCAAAAATATGAAGACTCATCTAATACTCTATTGCTTAAACTGAAAAGTTACCTATCAACCAATTCTTTCCTGAGTTGAATAGCCCTGATTACTTCAGCCACCTCAAAAACCTTATTTTCCAAGTTGATAATAATATCTACAATACTTTTTTAATGCACTTAAAATTTTCTTCTTAAATATAAAGTTCGGGAATAATCTAATGACCAATGTCAAATATAAAGGGAAAATAATTCATAATTTCTTGATATTTTACTTACACATTCTCATTTCTTTCATTTAAACTAAAATTCAAAACACACCAGAGTAACAATATTTGGCTCATAGTTCATGACTTTGACTGAAGTGTCTATTACATACAGACTTTTACTTAAGCTTCTATTACATATAGCTAGTAATTCTACCATTCTATTTTAGGCAGCTCTTGCTGATTAAATACAAAATAACTAATAAATAAAACTGGGGAAAATTCTTCAGATGTTGCTAAATAAAACAAGGTACCTTTACTGTAGGAAAGCCTTGCTGTGTTCTATCCTTTACTGAGCCACGGCTGCCCTCAGTCAGGTATCGAGCTCGGTGCTGGGTCTCAGGTTGTACAATTATCTTCAGTTCCTTTCCTTCACTTTTAACAGGATACTGTCCACACAACATAGGGCTCTTCTTTACTCCAGTTCCTTTTTGGTTTTCTGATGTTCTGAGAAGTCAAAGCACAACATGGAAAAAACATCAAAAGGAGTTTTCTACAAAATTCATCTAAGATACAGGAAGAAACAGAATAGGCAAGAACATTAAAAACAACTGATTATCTTACTAACAAAAAAAAAACATAGCTTAAGGGAAGAAACATTTCATAAGCTAATTATCTTTTAACATTTTGTAATAAAACTTAACTGTATGATGCAAAAATAAAAGAAAGTAAGTTGGACAGGGAAAACAAAGAATGCAATGAGTGGTAGGAAGGAGGAAGACTGAATGCAAGAAATCAAGAATAAGAGAAAGAGAATAGCTTATGTCATTATAACCTTTGACATCATTTTTCAGTCAAAATAAAAATTTTAAATTATATGAGTGTTATATAAAGCTATAAGATCAATCTACCATTATTTTATAATCAGATTTGAAAGGCAAAATAAAGTGGGAGTTGCAAAAAAACAGAAGGCCTTAAAAAAAACAACTGAAGGTACACACAGCATATTCTCTCACATACATCAAACTGAGAAAATTATATAAAATATCAGTGACTCAATTTTTATTGGGAAATTAGGTTTACTCTAAACAACCTTTCCTAGAAGTGTAATTTTTCAGTGTATTTCCATGATTAAATAATTAAGCTGTAGGCATATAAAAATTTTATAATCTTGAGTTTTACAGATATGCAATCTAATTTATTTTTTTAAATTGTGTTTCTAATGGTTGTTCACCATACATTTGCTATGTGGAATTTTTATTCAAAGAAAAATATTTCAAATAGTGAATAGCACTTTAGGTCACACATTTAATCTGAAACACTGCTAATACATGATAAAAATTAACAGAAAACAATACTGTTAGTTTTAAAACAGATTTCAAATTATCTATGTCCATTTTAAGATGAGTTAGGGACTATAATGATTTCTGTATGATTTGCTCCTGAGTTTACACTCACATGTAAAGATACGGGACGAGAGGACTTTACACTCACATGAAAAGATACAGCCAAGAGAGGACTGTGGACAAAATCTTCTCCAGAATCAAACAGGTCCCAGGAGGAATATTGTGACTTCAAATATAAGAGGGAGCAATGGTGGCTAAGCAGCCTCAAACTTGGCTCTCTAATGTTGACCTCACCAGCTCTAACCAAGTTGTACCCTCAGTCATCAATAATAAAAGAGAGGAAAAACATACACTCTCAATAGAACTGGGAACTGATGTGAACCCCACGGCTAGGAATGGGACAGAAAAATGGAAGAAAGAAAAGACTCAAAGGAACGTAGTTAAGACTGACAAGAAGGAAAGTTCTGAGGGCAAGGACTGTGCTCAATCATCTTCATAATCCCTGGTATTTGCACCAGTTCTGAGACAGAAGGTGCTGAAAAAAGTATTTGTTGATGAAGGCAAACAGGAAGAAGAAAGCAGAGGAAAAAAGGAACTTCTTTAATAGTAAGATGAGAAAGACTGGATCCTAACTGGTCAAGGAATGCCACTTATGTACATTTGACATAAAATTAAGTCAAAGATTATCTGTGTAAGTCATTTAAAAGGTCATGGAAGAATAAACTCTATGAACAAAAGTATTGAGTTGAAGCTGGAATAATGGGCAATAAATCCTATTTTTCTTTTCATCATTCTGGGTAGAAATCCAAACATTTGTTCTGCATACAATATGGAGTGCCCTACATATAAAATTCTATAATATTGTTTTTTACTTATTTTAAAATCAAAGCTAAAATGCTCTATTCCTGAAACTAAGTAAAAACATCAACCAAATATGCATTGAAGCGACTAAAAAAAAAATTAAGCAAAATGCTAATAATGTTGTATTGAGTAACCATATTGTGGGTTATCTATTTTCTTCTATTTTTCTGCATTTTTCCAGTGTTTGTAATTAATATCTATTAATTTTATAATAAAAAGGAAACCCTTTAGTATAAACTATAAGAAATATTTAGTATCAATTAATTTGGCAAGACACAGCTTTTATATTCACTTATGTTATAGCCAAGCTAGTATTTATGAAGGTAAATAGATGATAATGAGTTTTACTATTTCAATAAAATAAAATATTTCATTTGGAATGAAGATGAGTGAGTTGATAAAGTTATGAGTGAGTTAATAAAATTATGGTGTAAAGAAGAACCACACATGTAATTAAAAACTTTCTGAAATGACACTTTAAAAAGCCCTTAAAACCATCTTTATTCCTATGTTTAAATGTAAAAATGGAATACATACATATTTAGATTTCTAAAGGTGTAAAACAATGACAACAGCAACTAATTCTTAGAAAAGTAGTCATTCAAATTACTAATTTTTAAGGTATGGCTTAAGAAAAAACAAGAAAATAACAGTTAATTGCAAGGGATTTTACTTCTAACTGACATCTAAAAGGAAAATGTACTGTCTTGGCATGTTCTATTTAGAAGTCTTAGAATAGCATTCTTAATTCCTTTGTGCTGTATATCCTTCTTGTTATCTATCACAAAAATGATTTTCACTACAAAATGCCTAAAAGGGGTTTCACATCCAGATGGCATAATATCTTAATTTCTAGGGATATCCAGAAGAGATACAGGGCTACTGATGCTCAGGATATTTAGTCAAAAAATTTAAGAAAGATATGGCTAGGAATGTTTTAATACTGAGCAGTTTTCAAATTTTTCTTAAGTGGTTTTGTTTTCTTAATGAGCTCTAACTTTTACATAATGTTTTAATAATACAAAAGAGCTCTTTCCATCGTGAAGATCAATTAACTGCTATACACAACATAGTTGAGAGTATATTTTCTATAATTTAGCATTATATAAACTGTAAGTTTATGGCACATTAGATCTAAAGCTATATTCCTTATCTCCCAAAACATTTCTAAATTTCTTTCATGTTTCTCTCTTGTAGAATATAGGACTTTAACTTGAGTTCCTCTTAACAACTATTTTCAAAGGCCTATTTTTCTATATATTTACATATGGTCTTATCCCTTCCTTGATATAGTTCTTACAAATTCAGAATTTAAACTCCTCCCATCATTTGCTAGTGTCAAATATTTTTCCATTACCAAGAAGCTGGACATTTCTTCTGCTGCTTGATGAGTTTCTGTTCCATGAATTATTTCATGAGAGATTCTGTCTTGACAAATGTTATTATACTTTCCCTGGGTAACCTCAAATCATTTCTAAGATACATCTATCATACAAAAGCAGAAGCAGAAAAGATGTAGGTCAAGATACCTCTTTAAGAGCAACTGCAAATAATGTGTGTTAACTAACCCTATGTCAAAATTTTATTTGTTCTTCATTTGAGCCTGTAACATTTATTTCAGGATAAATATGAGAATCTTTATTCCAGAACTTTAAAAAAAGACTTTCTCCACTGAAGCCCAAATAAACACATACCTGTATTTAATGATAGATCAACATAAGCCTTTTAGATCTGTGCTATCAAGTTTCAGAGTATATTCTGTAGGTAATAAATAGTTCTACAAATATGTTCTAGAATTCTTGAGTCTGCTAATGGCAACATTTTAGGAAAGGTTATTTTCATATAGTTTCCTAATTTAGACGTTCTAAAAATGAAAAACATTTAAATATGTATTTTTATTTAACTACAACCCCCAAAGATGTTTTAAATGGGAGGAGAGAAAAAGTAGCATAGAATAATTATTGCTTAAATAGTAGCTATTACTTTAAAAAGGTACTGAGAGACTATTTAAGGACAAGTTTAATATACATCAAGAATATTCACTATAATACTCAACCAGACTTTAACTTAAAAGATATAAATGTCATCAAGTAGTAAACCAATTGTAAGTGTCACCATCGTTTTGTGACAGCCTGGAATGGTAAGATCCTGGGTCAACTAAAGGACCATACCCTGTCTCCCAAAAGAATAATCTCTCAAAATCCAGTGAATTAAATTCTATAAAACTATGCTGAATATACTGTAGGAAAACCTAATAAAAATTGTCCAGCAATTAAATATTATAATAGAAGTAATAAAGGAATCAAAAAGTTAAAAAGAAGTTATAGGGTTTGTGGGGGGGACTTGGGGTAGCGGAGAGCCTAGTAAACATAATGTTCTTCATGTAATTGTAGATTAATGATAACAACAACAAAAAAAAAGTAAAAAAATTAAAATTAAAAAAAAGAAGTTATAGTATTCTGTACTGTGGCAATTAATATTCTTTGATACAGCTACTGAAACATATTTAGTGTTGTGAACTTACAGAGATGATAACTCAAAACATGTACCGTGATACTGTTGCATCACCCTTCTAATGCATAGCTCAGAAGAAAAAAATTAGTGATCAATTTTTTTTAAAAACCCTGAATTGGTACAATGTATCAAGAAAAATCTTAAAATATATGACATTAAATGGTGATGGTCAAACCATCAGTTTAGTTTCTTATTTTCATCAAATAAAAAAAAAAAGAGTCTAAAATCTTCACAAAAATGGAAATGGATTGAACTATACTGGGAGACAACATGAAGGAGAACACAAACTAGCCCTTTGGGAATGTTTTGAGTTACTTTGGCCAAGGCCATTAGATTACTAGTTATTTCTCTGAGTAAAAATAGTTTTAAATCTGTTTAAAATATAAACCCATTTGAATTGTAAGTTATTTCAAAACAGATTATTTTCATTCTCTACTACTTAATCATACCCATAATAAGATACCTATTACTAACACCTATTGATATTTTATATTTTTCTCTAGTGAAACTTGGTAATTTCTATTTAATATTTTCATGTATTTCAATAATAAAATTAGTATCTTTGCTGTATATGCAAGCTTAGCTGAGAATTAAGAAAAGTGGACAATGATTTTTTTGCTTTGTTTTGTTTTGCATAATGGTGATAGAACTTTAAAAAAATGTAAATACCAACCCATTTCCTGCTTTTGAGTTGCCTTTGTTGTCCGTGGTAAGCTGAGAAAGCACATAGTGAGGTGCCTTGGCACTGTCGGCATCAAATATATCCATATTAGATTCTTCACAATCTCGTCGTTTGACCCCCGGCCTCTGCTTGGGATTTCGTTTTCGTGATTTACGAGGTACCTCAGTGTTATCATTGTAGGAACTGGTGCTCATGTTACTGAAGTTGGAGGGGGAATCCTCCATCCACATACTGCAGCTCTGCTCAGATTCCAATCCACACCCCTCATCCTGGCAGGACATCCGACTGTTATCCAGCAAGTCCTCAGGTGGTGGTGAGATGTACAAGACTGTGTGCCTCTTCGGTGTTGATGGATGCTGCTGAACTGTGTTACTGGTTAACTGCTTTTCACTTACCCCTCTGTTACTTACCCCCAAGGCTGAGGAGCAGCTCTCCACTTGCATAGCCTTGCTGTCGGTGACTGAGGTAGAATAAATGGTAGGGCTGGAAGAGGTGGTAAAGGAGCTGCAAGCACCGCCCATGGAGGAAGAGGAGGGAGCTGAAGAAGCATCTGCAGTGTACAATTTAAGAGTAAATACACTATACATGTTTTCACCTATGCTGGCTAGCAGTCCCATTGAAAATGTGATTTGTGAACTGATTGTTTTTCCCCCAAAATGAATAGTTGGAATTTGGTTAAGTTTTAGAGTATAAATGCTTCAAGCAACACAAGGCCTAAGAAAAGAAATTTTTTAAAATGCCCAAATAGCATAATTTTACTTGTGTAATAATCAATAGATTTTTAAAAATCTAATTTAATGTTTTAAGCTGTAAAGCAAGAATAAAGCTTTTATTGCCTCAGCTGGATGTTCTCAATTTTAATCATTTAAAATAATAAAGAAAACCCCAATATGAAATATATGCTTGTGGTCCACATTCAATGCCAATTAAATAATTTATTACAGAATTTGAAAAGTGGGACTGTGCTTAGCCACAAAATATTAAAATAAGTTTCTAACCTATGAAGCAGAGAACTACAGGTCATTTTTAATGCAGTCACTCCCTGCTTCAGAGGCAAATCCTGGAATAAAAATATAAGAAAGTAAATGAGAAAAGAGCTGCTGATTATTCCAGATATCAATTATAAAATGAGAAATATGAAAAAATATATCATCAAGTGAATTGGAGGCAAAATGGAACTGGTACCGTCACTATGATTGTTGTAAAATCTATAAGACTATAAGTGAGAAAGGTTTGATTTGAAACATGCTGGGCTGCAGAAGATAAGCAAGTTAAACCATTGAAGGTCTCTGGAAGTGGGAAGTGGCAGCTAACAACCATGATCTTTAAGATAAATAAATCCATTCTTTATGGAAGAAATAAGGACTGATTATTGGATGGATTTCTCTCATGAAGTACTTGACAACTGGTTACCACTGTCCATTTACTTCCTCTTTGTTTAAGGGCTGGCTTGATTTTAACTATTAAAGGCATTTCCTAAAATGGGTAACAGTAAATCTTATTGGCTGAAGTGTAACAAAAAGAGTTAAACAAACAAAAAAATTCTAAAGAGTACGACAATTAGTTCCCATAAAAAAGTTTGTATGAAGCCCTTCATCTATTATGCTTTACAAAAAAGATTCAAGTAGATTTTTTTCAAAAATGTGGCAATTGGTAGAACAGTTCATTGAAAAAAATATATTAACCCTTCACAGCATAACCTCAGAGGTACATTAATAATGCCAAGATTGGAAGTTGTCAGTACTAAAATTTTAGAAATACCATTTTATCTTGAAAAAAATAGGAAGGTTTATTATAATCATACACACACAAATAATGTGACAAACAACTAAAAGATATGCTTAAATCTAAAATAAATTTTTATCAACAGCCAAGTATGCCGCTGTTTTAAAGTGGTATCATAAAACCGATATGGTTATTGCAGTTGTAACATTCGATTCAAACATAACGTAAAGAGTGAAATGTGAGAATGCTAATGTTTAGATATTCCAAGGCAAAATGCCAAAGATCTATTCTCAAATTGAAAACATGAATAAAAACACTTAAATCATTCAAAAGAATTAAATTCACCCATAATTCTTCATTGCTGTCAAGGCTGAAGAGCACAGTAAATAATGTTAGCCATGAATAATGTGATCTACATAATGCTACATGACAAAATTTTCCCAACTACCTGAAGTCAAAGAACCTAGAGCAATTAGATGATACCAGTTCCATTTTCCAGTTTGTATCCCTGTCAAATGCAGTAGCTGAAATTGGAAAATTCAGTCACTTTAAACTGCATTCCAATTTAAAGAAAATTTATCAATTTTGTATCATGCATTAATGCAATGTTTTCTTAGTAAATAAATAATTTAAAAGATTTGTAAAAACTAGAAAATCTAGATGCTAATGTCAGTGACAGTTTAGGAGCTGATTTGTAGCCACTTTGGGTTTAAATAACAAGTTTTTTCCTTGTTTTTTGATACATAATGTAAGATTCATTTTAGAAAAGATAGAAAAGGCATTATGTCTAACATTCCTCCATCTGTTCCAACTATTGGCAAAAATGAAACTAAATTTCTACGTGTGTATGAACCTATGTTCTTCATTTTCAGAGAAATAAAAGTATACAGCATGCAGTATTTGCAGTGGAACACACAAAACATGCAGCACGAATGCTGTGAACTTGTATTTATATAAATCAGATTTCCCCCACCCATCCTTTTTGGATCTGTTACCATGCACATGAGAAGTTTTCTTAATGAGCTCTAACTTTTACATAATGTTTTAATAATACAAAAGAGCTCTTTCCATCGTGAAGATCAATTAACTGCTATACACAACATAGTTGAGAGTATATTTTCTATAATTTAGCATTATATAAACTGTAAGTTTATGGCACATTAGATCTAAAGCTATATTCCTTATCTCCCAAAACATTTCTAAATTTCTTTCATGTTTCTCTCTTGTAGAATATAGGACTTTAACTTGAGTTCCTCTTAACAACTATTTTCAAAGGCCTATTTTTCTATATATTTACATATGGTCTTATCCCTTCCTTGATATAGTTCTTACAAATTCAGAATTTAAACTCCTCCCATCATTTGCTAGTGTCAAATATTTTTCCATTACCTAAGAAGCTGGACATTTCTTCTGCTGCTTGATGAGTTTCTGTTCCATGAATTATTTCATGAGAGATTCTGTCTTGACAAATGTTATTATACTTTCCCTGGGTAACCTCAAATCATTTCTAAGATACATCTATCATACAAAAGCAGAAGCAGAAAAGATGTAGGTCAAGATACCTCTTTAAGAGCAACTGCAAATAATGTGTGTTAACTAACCCTATGTCAAAATTTTATTTGTTCTTCATTTGAGCCTGTAACATTTATTTCAGGATAAATATGAGAATCTTTATTCCAGAACTTTAAAAAAAGACTTTCTCCACTGAAGCCCAAATAAACACATACCTGTATTTAATGATAGATCAACATAAGCCTTTTAGATCTGTGCTATCAAGTTTCAGAGTATATTCTGTAGGTAATAAATAGTTCTACAAATATGTTCTAGAATTCTTGAGTCTGCTAATGGCAACATTTTAGGAAAGGTTATTTTCATATAGTTTCCTAATTTAGACGTTCTAAAAATGAAAAACATTTAAATATGTATTTTTATTTAACTACAACCCCCAAAGATGTTTTAAATGGGAGGAGAGAAAAAGTAGCATAGAATAATTATTGCTTAAATAGTAGCTATTACTTTAAAAAGGTACTGAGAGACTATTTAAGGACAAGTTTAATATACATCAAGAATATTCACTATAATACTCAACCAGACTTTAACTTAAAAGATATAAATGTCATCAAGTAGTAAACCAATTGTAAGTGTCACCATCGTTTTGTGACAGCCTGGAATGGTAAGATCCTGGGTCAACTAAAGGACCATACCCTGTCTCCCAAAAGAATAATCTCTCAAAATCCAGTGAATTAAATTCTATAAAACTATGCTGAATATACTGTAGGAAAACCTAATAAAAATTGTCCAGCAATTAAATATTATAATAGAAGTAATAAAGGAATCAAAAAGTTAAAAAGAAGTTATAGGGTTTGTGGGGGGGACTTGGGGTAGCGGAGAGCCTAGTAAACATAATGTTCTTCATGTAATTGTAGATTAATGATAACAACAACAAAAAAAAAGTAAAAAAATTAAAATTAAAAAAAAGAAGTTATAGTATTCTGTACTGTGGCAATTAATATTCTTTGATACAGCTACTGAAACATATTTAGTGTTGTGAACTTACAGAGATGATAACTCAAAACATGTACCGTGATACTGTTGCATCACCCTTCTAATGCATAGCTCAGAAGAAAAAAATTAGTGATCAATTTTTTTTAAAAACCCTGAATTGGTACAATGTATCAAGAAAAATCTTAAAATATATGACATTAAATGGTGATGGTCAAACCATCAGTTTAGTTTCTTATTTTCATCAAATAAAAAAAAAAGAGTCTAAAATCTTCACAAAAATGGAAATGGATTGAACTATACTGGGAGACAACATGAAGGAGAACACAAACTAGCCCTTTGGGAATGTTTTGAGTTACTTTGGCCAAGGCCATTAGATTACTAGTTATTTCTCTGAGTAAAAATAGTTTTAAATCTGTTTAAAATATAAACCCATTTGAATTGTAAGTTATTTCAAAACAGATTATTTTCATTCTCTACTACTTAATCATACCCATAATAAGATACCTATTACTAACACCTATTGATATTTTATATTTTTCTCTAGTGAAACTTGGTAATTTCTATTTAATATTTTCATGTATTTCAATAATAAAATTAGTATCTTTGCTGTATATGCAAGCTTAGCTGAGAATTAAGAAAAGTGGACAATGATTTTTTTGCTTTGTTTTGTTTTGCATAATGGTGATAGAACTTTAAAAAAATGTAAATACCAACCCATTTCCTGCTTTTGAGTTGCCTTTGTTGTCCGTGGTAAGCTGAGAAAGCACATAGTGAGGTGCCTTGGCACTGTCGGCATCAAATATATCCATATTAGATTCTTCACAATCTCGTCGTTTGACCCCCGGCCTCTGCTTGGGATTTCGTTTTCGTGATTTACGAGGTACCTCAGTGTTATCATTGTAGGAACTGGTGCTCATGTTACTGAAGTTGGAGGGGGAATCCTCCATCCACATACTGCAGCTCTGCTCAGATTCCAATCCACACCCCTCATCCTGGCAGGACATCCGACTGTTATCCAGCAAGTCCTCAGGTGGTGGTGAGATGTACAAGACTGTGTGCCTCTTCGGTGTTGATGGATGCTGCTGAACTGTGTTACTGGTTAACTGCTTTTCACTTACCCCTCTGTTACTTACCCCCAAGGCTGAGGAGCAGCTCTCCACTTGCATAGCCTTGCTGTCGGTGACTGAGGTAGAATAAATGGTAGGGCTGGAAGAGGTGGTAAAGGAGCTGCAAGCACCGCCCATGGAGGAAGAGGAGGGAGCTGAAGAAGCATCTGCAGTGTACAATTTAAGAGTAAATACACTATACATGTTTTCACCTATGCTGGCTAGCAGTCCCATTGAAAATGTGATTTGTGAACTGATTGTTTTTCCCCCAAAATGAATAGTTGGAATTTGGTTAAGTTTTAGAGTATAAATGCTTCAAGCAACACAAGGCCTAAGAAAAGAAATTTTTTAAAATGCCCAAATAGCATAATTTTACTTGTGTAATAATCAATAGATTTTTAAAAATCTAATTTAATGTTTTAAGCTGTAAAGCAAGAATAAAGCTTTTATTGCCTCAGCTGGATGTTCTCAATTTTAATCATTTAAAATAATAAAGAAAACCCCAATATGAAATATATGCTTGTGGTCCACATTCAATGCCAATTAAATAATTTATTACAGAATTTGAAAAGTGGGACTGTGCTTAGCCACAAAATATTAAAATAAGTTTCTAACCTATGAAGCAGAGAACTACAGGTCATTTTTAATGCAGTCACTCCCTGCTTCAGAGGCAAATCCTGGAATAAAAATATAAGAAAGTAAATGAGAAAAGAGCTGCTGATTATTCCAGATATCAATTATAAAATGAGAAATATGAAAAAATATATCATCAAGTGAATTGGAGGCAAAATGGAACTGGTACCGTCACTATGATTGTTGTAAAATCTATAAGACTATAAGTGAGAAAGGTTTGATTTGAAACATGCTGGGCTGCAGAAGATAAGCAAGTTAAACCATTGAAGGTCTCTGGAAGTGGGAAGTGGCAGCTAACAACCATGATCTTTAAGATAAATAAATCCATTCTTTATGGAAGAAATAAGGACTGATTATTGGATGGATTTCTCTCATGAAGTACTTGACAACTGGTTACCACTGTCCATTTACTTCCTCTTTGTTTAAGGGCTGGCTTGATTTTAACTATTAAAGGCATTTCCTAAAATGGGTAACAGTAAATCTTATTGGCTGAAGTGTAACAAAAAGAGTTAAACAAACAAAAAAATTCTAAAGAGTACGACAATTAGTTCCCATAAAAAAGTTTGTATGAAGCCCTTCATCTATTATGCTTTACAAAAAAGATTCAAGTAGATTTTTTTCAAAAATGTGGCAATTGGTAGAACAGTTCATTGAAAAAAATATATTAACCCTTCACAGCATAACCTCAGAGGTACATTAATAATGCCAAGATTGGAAGTTGTCAGTACTAAAATTTTAGAAATACCATTTTATCTTGAAAAAAATAGGAAGGTTTATTATAATCATACACACACAAATAATGTGACAAACAACTAAAAGATATGCTTAAATCTAAAATAAATTTTTATCAACAGCCAAGTATGCCGCTGTTTTAAAGTGGTATCATAAAACCGATATGGTTATTGCAGTTGTAACATTCGATTCAAACATAACGTAAAGAGTGAAATGTGAGAATGCTAATGTTTAGATATTCCAAGGCAAAATGCCAAAGATCTATTCTCAAATTGAAAACATGAATAAAAACACTTAAATCATTCAAAAGAATTAAATTCACCCATAATTCTTCATTGCTGTCAAGGCTGAAGAGCACAGTAAATAATGTTAGCCATGAATAATGTGATCTA